TTGTGGCTGACCCAAGGTCACACCAGCAGCTGCATATGGGGGGGGGAGTGGGGAATCAAACCCGGTCCTCCGAGATTAGAGTTCGTGATCCTAACGACTACACCAAACTGACCCCCACGTTCCCTTCCCTGCTGCGCAGACAGCACTGTAGCCGGCGAAAGGGGTTTATATCACCATCTGGACTGGTTAATTTGTTGGAGCATTGTGACAGTTTTATGCGGACTGTATTTTATGATGACAAGAGACTCCCTCGGGGTCTCTCGTGGGGTCATTCTTCCCTTGACATTCACACAGCAGGCCAGGCACCCGCTCCGCTTTGGGAAACGCTGACTTTCCATAACAGCATCACTGCGCACTGTTCGCACCACTGGAGTTGTTTACAGCCAACTGTATATCCCGCCGCCCTTGCTGGTTTCAAGAGGGGAACCGTCGGTTCCGCCTGGGATACCCCCCCCCCCCGCGACACAGAAGCGTGTTTGTGTTTTGCTGTTCTTATGCAATAAACAGGCGACACGCTGTATAATTTAAAACGGCCGTGCGGGCACATCAGGGATGGTTAAGATCATTTGATGCCGCGGGGCATAGTTCGGTATCGCGGCGTTTTCGTGTGTGTGTGTGTGTGTCAATACGGGGTTTTTCAGGGACGTGGCGATCTGCTGCCACTGAGTGACCCTGCGCCGCGAATGCATGTGGTGACTAAAGAAGCCCTCGAGCAGGCCCATAGCTGGGATTTTGTGGCTGGTGGGGCAAAAAAATTTCTGGTGGGGTTGCCGTTATTTGCCATAATGAAGGGGGTGGTGATTCAGTCTTATTAATTGCCCATCCTGCGAACAGGCTCTGGGCGATCTACAGTCATTAGGTCAAAGGTAAAGGTGAAGTTTCCCTCGCTCGAAAGCCAGTCGGTGCTCGTCTCCGTTTCCAAGCCGAAGAGGCAGCGTTGTCCGAAGACGTCTCTGTGGTCATGTGGCCGGCATGACTAGACGCCGAGGCGCACAGAACACTGTTCCCTTCCCCCCAAAGCAGTACCTATTTATCCACTTGCAGTTTCTTGCTTTCGAACTGCTAGGTTGGCAGAAGCCGGGGCCAGAGACGGGATCTCACCCCGTCGCGCGGCACTCGGGTCTCGAACTGCAGAACAACCGACCTTCCGGTCTGCAGTTCGGCGTCTTAACCCCTTGAGCCACCGCAGCCCTTTACGGTCATTATAAAACACTTAATGCATAGTTAAAAGCGAAAACAAAAAAAATCCCTCTCGCTCCCCTCGTGCAAGACTCAAAGGGCCCTTCAGCTGATCGGTAGGGAGCATGTGGCTGTGGAACCTTACAGTCCGCCGGAGGGCCCTTTAATCTTGCAGGAGGGGAACGAGAGGAGCACGCGCCCTCCCGGTTCTTCTCCAGAGCATTTAAAGGGATCCTTTTGGGAAGTAGTGGGGGGGCCTGTAAGGAAGGGGGCGGGCCCTGTAAGGAAGGGGCGGGCCCTGTAAGGAAGGGGGCAGAGCCCCCGATGGCCCCGCTGTAGCTATGGGCAGCCCCTGAGGCCATTCTTAGGGCTTCCCGAGCATGTAAGGGAAGGCTAACTGTAGTATAATCACTTGGCCGATATTTACCACTTCATCCCTTCACTGCCGCATCCAGTGTTCCCTCTAAGCTGTGGAGTCTTGTGAGCAAAAATTCTACTTTGTGAGCTACTGGCATTAAAGCTGTGAGCGAGCGACTTGGCTCCTGTGTAAATTAGTTTGGCTCTGGAGCCCCATCCTTCCTGAGCAGAGACAAAAGTGTGTGAGCCGGAGGCTAAAGAACTGTGAGCCAGCTCACACTAACTCAGCTTAGAGGGGACACTGGCCGCATCCCACAACTGAGATATTGGAGAAGATATTTTTATCTGCCTTGCCCATGTGGGGCTAGGGATTCCCATACCCACGTTGCACGGAGATTATCTTCTCTGCCCGAGACGCCCGCATTTCAGCAAAGACCAAAATTACTGGCGGGGGGCAGGGGGGGGAGCCTCTCTTGAGGAAAGAGTTGGCGGCGTCCGTGCGTGTCGGGGGAGGCCACCTTTCGAACTGCGCCACTGCATGTGGGAGTTGGCATGGATATTTATGTACTGTTTGAGGTGCAAAAATATATATATAAGGTAAGAAACGGGTCATTTCGTAGAAAAAGAGGTGCAGGAGCTCATTAGCATAACTTATTTGCATACGCCGCACCCCCTGACATCACCAGACGTGTGCCATAAGGCAACACCCACCGCTCAGGCGCCACTGGACTG